CAGAATGTAGGGCTACCAGCTAACAAGTAGACTGCAGTACAATTGTATTGGCAACGGTGTTGTTCACTCCAGCCTAAAATCCAACAAATTAACTAGCTCAAATTAAACCACCACTGTATTGGAGTTAAATGTCTAATCTGCAGATGAGACTTGAATTGGAGGCTACCTGCATTACTAAGATAGGCAAGCCTTATGCAGTACTGGTTCCAGGGACTACTTCCTCACTTTCAAGGGATCTTTCTGTATTGCCTCTACGGGGAACCTGCTTACACAGGGACAGACTTCTCCATGTGCACAGAGGCTCCCCCCCATATTTACATAATCATAGTTTTAGTCCCTATACTTATTAGATACAAGGCACAGGGAACAAGTGAGGCCATATTACTATTCCTTGTTACAGATGAGCTTCTAGATGGAATACAATGTGCTGCCTGAGAACTAATTTCACCTAGAGTTACTATGACATGATATCCCTTCTGTGGTGCAAACAAGGCCATTTTATAGCTAGGTTTAGTCCCTTTATATAAATACATACTTAAACAGCAGCACTTATCTATATGTATGTGAAAAAAGCTGAAGTTCTTGTCATACCTAAATCATGTGACCTGTCTTGGTTTTGTGTACTACCTTTAGTTTTTGAGTCTGCACCTCCTGTGGGACAAAACGGGGCATCTGAAATCAGCAGTGGTTTAGCTGGGACAGTGTCCTTGTTGAGAGGTCCTGTCCAGGCAGCTTGCCTGAGGCAAACTGCTGATTCCTTAGAATGGTAGAATTTACTGGCTGCTTTATAAAATATTTGGCTAGGCCTTCATGAAAGAACCTCATGCTGAAGAAAACTACACACCCGTTGAAATGCTTGGTATGCTTTGGTCACCATGTGAGTGTTTCTTCCTGGAAAACCAAGCATTTCAACAGGTATGCAGTTTTCCTTCAGCATGAGGTTCTTTCATGGAGGCCCAGCCAAATATTTTATTAATCAGATGAAGACTGGTACTTGAGCAGTGTACTTTCAAAGCGGCCACAATGTTTTTTTCCTGCCAGCAGTGATCTGAATAGCACGACAAGACTTTTGACTTGAATGATGGAGCAGAAAATGTGATGGTGGCATTCTGGTAGCACTGCAAATGCAACATTCCATTACTCTGGGATTGGGAACTGTAAGGGGAGGATGGGAAACAGGTTCCTGGACACAAAACTGACTGGAGCGTTTTCATGAATAATTTGAGGAAGGATTTCAGGAGCAGGAGCTACCATTGACTGCTGGTAAACTTGTAAATAAGAGCTTTGCTGCAGCGAGGCGCAAGGGCAGGAAACTGCATTCCTTGTCCAGCTGCACTCATCCAAGCTATGCTTAGGGGGCTTGTATGCCCTACAATAAAGTAACTTTCTTCAGGAAAACTCCCCACCCCCGCGCCAAGACACATTGTTAATCTTGCTACCAAATCTTTTCATTCCACTCTTCTAGACAGTTATATACTCTCCTGTGCGCAAAGTTCCTGAAGTATTGAATGACTGTGACCACTTTGGGAATATGCAGTACAAGGCATTTTATCAAAAACAAGGTATGCAGCAATTTGCATAATTACATAATCTAATTTTGCATAGAATATAAATTTAAACGTGTCTTGGTATGCGTTCTGGGTTTTGGGGTTTGTTTTGTTTTTCCTTCTTGGAAAGAAGAAATGTGTCTGGCCTTTCTCTTAGATCTGGGACTGTTTTGAAATATGGTAATGAAATTGGATGGAAAGAGTACATGAGGAATATTGAAACTGCCAATCAAATTAAACCCAAAAGCATGCAACTGTCTTGGTGTGGGCTGGTGGTCACATCTTGTTTTGTCTTGTGAAATGCTTCACTTTGGCAAAATGGCAGCATTTTTACATTAAAAAATGACGAGACAAAATATGAGGCTTTGGTGAGTTGGATACAAAGCCTAAATCAAGCATGTTCACTACTCTCTAGACCCTTAGGGATTGATTGGCATGTTGAAGGAGTGCTTCATGGATACTAATGGTGCATTTGGGTCAAAAGCGGTACTTTGCAAGAAGCTTGATTCTCTGACTTACAGGGAAGATTCAATGTCTTATTAAGCAGGAACAGTTCTCAGGAGCAGGAAATGGAAATGCATCAAAAGGAAGTTTAAATATGTTAGTAACTGAAAACACCGGTCAGCTTTTTGGTCCTTCCTAGATGACCTACAAAAATTCTGTACTGGAGGAACAGACAGAAGTTATATGGGCTTAAAAAGGATTTGTGCTGTAAAGATTGCTCCTGGCATATGTTTCATTGATCATAGAATCATAGAAGTAGGGTCGGAAGGGACCTTGTAGATCTTCAAGTCCGACACCACCCCCCCCCTCAAATGACCCCAGCCAGGTACGCATCAAGCCACTTATTAAAGACCCCCAGGCTAGGAGCCAGCACCACTTCCCTTAGAAATTGGTTCCAGATCCTAGCCGCCCTTACTGTGAAATAATTCTTATGGGTGTCTAATCTAAACCTACTCTCCAGCAACTTGTGGCTGTTATTCCTTGTTATTCCAGGGGGTGCTAGGGGAAACAAGGTCTCCCCCAAACCCTTCTGGTTCCCCCTAGTAAGTTTATAGATGGTCACCAGGTCCCCCCTCAGCCTTCTCTTGTGAAGGCTGAACAGGTTCAGGTCCCATAGCCTCTCATTGTAGGGGCTGCCCTGCTGACCCCTGATCATGTGGGTGGCCTTCCTCTGGACCCTCTCAATGTTGTCCACATCCCTCTTGAAGTGGGGTGCCCAGAACTGGACACAATACTCCAGCTGTGGCCTGACCAGTGTCGCGTAGAGGGGGAGGATCACCTCCCTGGCTCTACTTGAGATGCACCTGTGGATGCACGATAGGGTCCGGTTAGCCCTGCCGACTGTGACCTCGCATTGTCGGCCCATGTTCATCTTGGAGTCAATGATGACTCCGAGATCCCCTTCTACCTCCGTGCTCTCAAGAAGGGAGTTTCCCATCTTATAAGTGTGCTGATCATGCACATCCCCAAAGCCACAAGAAAGAAGAAAAAAGAGTAAATGAGCAGTTGTTCAACCATGACCTGGCAACTTCTTTGAAAACCAATTGTGGAATAGTCTAAAGTATGCCAAATGAAGGCTCCACTGTAAAATGCCAAGGTGTTTGCCAACGAACCTGGGTGTTTGTGTTTAGCATTCTTTGCTACTGACTTCTTAAATAATTTTTTTAACTACATTTTCAAATTGTAAGTGGTTTCTGAGAGTTCCTCTGCTTAAACTCCAATGCATTGTGATATATAACTAGATATGATTTATAATTAACATGATGCTGACCGCAACCTAACATAGACCATAAAGGATGTTGAGCAGCAGGGGGTTAAACAGTTAGTGGACACTATATTAAATGCTATTTGCCCTGGTGCATGCATGGTACTCAGTCAAGGTCAAGATTATGCTCACAGCTGAATTCAAACATCATAAAACTGTAATGTAGACACGCCTAGAGACGCTCCTTGTCTGCACTGCACTCAAGTGTGATTGCAACTTGCACTTGTTCCATGCACTTCCCAGATTAAAGTTATTAAACTTTACACATATGCAGTCACACTTCTGACTGCAGTACAGACCTCTCTTTAGATAAAACACCTTTCCCTCTCTCCTTTTTCCCCCTCCAATTATTTTTCAAAAATATTCAGCTTTCTATACTGTAAAAGTTGTCAATCTTGCCTAGCATTTAGCTATCATGGCAGAGTCCCTTCTGCTCAGCACTGAGTTCATTGCTTTAAGACCGTCCAACTTCTAAGTGTCTGGGGCTGCACATCCTCAACAGGGCCAAGGCTGCCCTGGCTGTGCAGTGCTATATTTGTGGGAACCCTAGCTTCTCTGGACATCCTACAGGCTGCCAGTTGAACAGCTGTTTTAAGACATTAAATCACTTTGCTACATGGTTTCTCGGTGGGGGGGAGAACATTAAATAATCCAATGACAGCCCTCTCCACCAATAAGCAGTAGGAGTGGGGCCATTGGGGCCCCTTAGCCAATCAGAGGTGGGGGCAGGGAGGGCAGGCCTGCCATTATGAGCCCTCGAAAATGGTGACCAGCCCCACAATCTCTGTGAAATTGGCCAGCCGCTGCCTTGAGTTTGGATAGACCTCTACCCATAGGGAACACTAGGAGTTCCTTCCTTTGCCTCTCTATTTTCTGAACTTCGTGAGAGGACCAGATTTTCCAGTGTGGGCTTTCTCTGGTGTCGGTGTTGTCTATAGACACAAGAAGTTGACCTAGGTGCTGGGAGAATTGAGTGAGGTGGACAAAGAAAGTTGAACGTTCTGTAGCTGAAGTTACGAAACTCAAAGAATTAGAGTTGGGCACCCTGAGGGATCAAGTGACGCCTGCTATGCTGATCAGTCCTGGAAGCAAAACCTGAAGGACAATAGTCCCTAACTGCTGTTTCCTGTGAATCTGTCTAAATTGCACTCTGTGCTTTGAGAGGTAAGTAGAGGGAGACACTATCCATTATATACCAGTATTTCGATGTTGCTCTTCATCATGAGACGGTTAAAATGGTCCTGAAAAATCCTTTGTGGTTTTTCCCTTGAATCATTTCATCACTCATGTAGTCTTGTAGTTTTTCACTTGTTCTGCATCTTTCTGCATAAAGCCTAAGCCTAATAAACCAGGGAACTAATATTTCCATAGTTTACAAGGCACATACTCAGAAACCGTTTAGGCCTGGAAGGCTCATTGGTTCAAACAAATGGTGCTATAATTAAATTGGTTATCTACTTTGAGTAGTATTTGACAGCTCCTTAAAATATTACCTGCTTAAAAGTTCAGTGACCTGCTGCTTTGACTAAGAATCAGTACTGCTGATAACGTAACGAGTATGCAACAACATGTGGTGAAAGTCCTGCTATGATATCTCTAGTGGAATGCATCGATAATTAGGAACTGCAATGTTTTCATGAAGAGGTTTATTAAGGCTTCCTAAGGTCCCTACATAGTGTAAATGTTTTTGTCTGAAATGTGCCTGTCACATGCTGACTGCGGTCCAGACAGACCCACAACCCCTTGCCCCCTCCAGCTCTGTTGGAGGGGGGGCCCCAGCTGCCAGAACTGCAGGGGTGGGCACCTGGGTCTGCAGCCTTCTGCCCCCACCCAAGCAGTGCCCAAGCCATGGCTACCATCCATGGGAGGCAGCGGCCACTTAAGCCCAAGTGGAGAGTGGAACCAGCTCTTCCTCCCCCGCAGGCAGCACGGCTGGAGTGGAGCCCGTGGATGGGGCGGATGTGGACTTGTAGCTGTGGGCTTGGGCTCCCTGCCCTGCTGCCCTCCTCCTGGGTGCCACTGGAGGGCAGGACCCAGCAGGGCAGGGCAAGGTGGGATGGGGAGGCTCTGCCGCTGCTGGGAGCCCTTCGCCGCCATGGAGAGGCACCCCCTGCCTACCTGGCAGCAGTAAGGGGCACAACTGCACCACCAACCCTACTGCTGCCAGACAGGGTTTTTTTCCATCAAAAATATAATGTCAATTCAAAGTGAAGGGAAGTCTTGGAGGGCAATGTTAGAAGAAAAGTATGGAAGGGGAAGTGCTCTGTTCTCACTATCCTAATCTGTCTGAGTCCTGAATGCCAGTCCTTTGTCACTGGGCTGTCTTTCTCGTGCTAATGAAACATTCATGTATTGTTGCTCTTGTTTTCATTCTATTTAGGTTTTCAGAAAGCTGAGTAACCATTTGCACTCTGTCTGCCTAGTCTGTCTGGGTAAGTTGTGCTTCAAGAGATTCTCAGTGTTGTTCCAAATTATCTTTACTTCTGTAATGTTTAGTGCATTTTTTTTCAGCAGTTGCATATAATTTAACCCAGACTATTTGCTTGTTTGGTTTAATAATATTGGACTACAGAGGAATACATAATAGATGTAATCAAATAGAAGTTCTCTTGCATTTGAATTTTGCTGATTTTGTTTCTTGAGCTCTGTCACAATACTAAGTTCTATAGATGATCTTTCCCCTCAACACTCGTGCCATTATGACAGGTTGCTTTAAAAAGTCCCTCTGCTGTCACCACCACAATTACTGTTTACATTTCCACAAGGGCCTCTCTGCATGACAAATACCATCGTAATGAGGTCCTTGCTTACAACATGGCTATTCTCTAATCCATTTACACACATGCTTCTAGTTGGTAGCAAAATATTAACATGGGCCTAATTAAAAAAAATCTCTGAGTCATTTTGCTATTGCAGTTAGACCCTATGAATCTTAATTATTTCTTGGTCATTGAAAGTCATGATATAGTTTTATGTAAGCTTTGCCAAGATGGCATCCTATTAAGCTCAGTCTGCACTGAACCTGTTAGGAGCATTCACACAGCAACCTCAGTTTAAAGTTCAATTTCAGAACCAAATTTAAACCAGAATACTTATTGCATACTGATATCGTAGTAAGGGAGAAGGTTCCACTGTGGTCCTTTCCTGCATTTTAGTGAGAATTTTGATGTGTTTCTACAGATTTCTCAAGGCTAGCATGGATATTAACCACCCATTTTACCAGGATACAAAAGCTCATCCCCTCTGCTAGCTTGAGGTACAAAAGTACAGTATTCTTGGAGAGTCCAAACCAGCAAAGTGCCAGGTACTCCCACTGAATTCACTGGAAGTCGAGGGCACTTAGCACTTTGCAAAATCAGCTTCTGACTCCGCTCCCTAATGGTGTTACAGCCCTAAATCTGTGAGGTGCTAAGCAACATTATTCCCTTGACTTTGGTACATGAAGGCCCCATAACATTATCTATAGAACAAATGCTGCCCATTCCTTGCAACTTCAATGCAAGAAGGAAACAAGTTTTTATTGCCACTAAACTCAAATTACCCAGTGATTTCTATTTCCATATCAGGGAAGACACAGGAAAAAATAAATTCTAATGTTAAGTGCATTTGTTTTTCATAACATTTACATACAAATTAAGCATGGCTTATGACAAATAACCAGGGGGACCTCCCTTTCCTGCCCTCCAGCTCTGGCATCTCTGTTTTACAGTCACTCTTATTTATTCGAATAGCACTGATGGTGTAGTGGATGGTTCACATTAGGTATAAAGTTACAGTCCCTGTCCTAAGGATCTTATTTCCTTTGTGGACAGTACATAGAACTGAGGAATCAGGGGAAAAGCAATGTGATTGAAGGTTTTAGGCAAAGTGTGTGTCTACTTCTGTATGCAGAGTGTGGGTGCTTAGGGACAGACTAAGCACTTGCTGGCATCTTTGAAGAAGTGCATCTCTAAGAGAAGAGGATGAAGAGGAGACAGCTGCCTTCCAAAGATGGGAAAAGAAGGCTGTAGCTAGTCACCCAACCAGCATGGAGTGAAGGTCATAGACTGATAGAAAAACAGGGCAGAAAACTACTGGAGGAGGTTATCTAGTCCGACCACTTGCTCAAGGCAGGAATGTTCCTGTTCTAAACCGTTGCAGACACATGTTTGTTTAACCTGCACATCTCATGAAAAGGCACTGCAGAAAGTATGGAGCATGGATGTAATGTTTACATCAGCATTTTGGAGGACTGAAGAGGGGTGAGGTGTATGTCTGTGTCCAAAGGGAAGAAAGCTGCAATGATTTAAATGTGTGAGGGTGTTCACATTAGCTATAAGGGATAGGTGGAATAGAAAATTGGATGGAAAATTTTGGAAATATGTAAAGTAGCTGCAGTGTTCAGCAAATGTTACTGTGAGGTTAGGAGAGTCAAAAATTGCACACAAGTTATGAGCATGAAGTATATGCTGGAGTAAGGGGACAAGGGAAAGGTTTAGGAGGAAAAATAAGGTGTGAAGTTTTAGCTGTGGGTTAGTTTATCAGCAGCAGCCATTCATGAAGGTGTTGGAAAGCCAGAAATATATCTCTGAACTAAAGGGAAGGGGAGGATCAGAGAGGTGTATCTCTAGGAGTTGGTATATAGATGCTTCAATTGTACCTTTGTGAAGATAAGGTCACTCAGATACAGGTGGTGAAGTAGGGGTCAAGGTTCAGGGGCAGGGCAGGCTTAGGAACAAGGGGGTGGCACGGGCACCTACAGGAGGCCTCAAATGCCTCTACACAAATGCTTGAAGCATGGGGAAAAAGCAGGAGGAACTTGCCCTCCTGCTAGCTAGCAAAAACCCAGACCTAGTGGGGCTCACGGAAACCTGGTGGGATTCTACCCATGACTGGGCAGTGGACATCAAGGGATACAGACTGTACAGGTGAGACAGAGCAGGGAAAAGAGGTGGGGTGTAGCACTATATGTCAAAGAGAAATATATGTCCTCAATGATCAGGATGGGGTCAGAGAAGGGGCAAAATGAGACTCTCTGGGTAAGAATGCAAGGGGGCCATGGGGAAAGGGACTTGATAGCGGGCGTCTACTACAGACTGCCTCACCAGGGGGACGAGCTGGACCTGGAATTCTCAGGTCAGGTCACGGAGGCTGTAAAGTCAAGAGATGTGGTTGTCATGGGTGACCTAAACTACCCAGACATCTGGTGGGAGGAGCAGTCAGCCAGGTCTGAACACTCACGGAGGTTCCTAGCCAGGATACAGGACCTCTACCTAACCCAGGAGGTGCATAGTCCCACCAGGGAAAATGCCTTGCTGGACTTGGTCTGTGCCACAGGCGATGACCTGGTGAGGGATCTGCGGCTACTCGACCACTTGGGCAACAGTGATCATTGCCTGCTGGAATTTACTATCCAGCGCAGGGTGGTGAAAGCAAGCAGCAAGGCAGAGGTACTCAACTTCAGGAGGGCCAACTTCTGTAAGCTAAGAAGGTTAGCAGGAGAGGCATTGGGGTCCCGGAGCTTCAATGAGATGCAAGTCCAAGACAGGTGGTTGTTCCTCAAGGAGACGATCCTTCAAGCTCAAAGGGAGTCAGGCCCAATGTGCATCAAGGGGGCCAGGAGTGCTAAGTAGTCCCCATGGCTCGGCAAAGGCATCCAGGGATGCCTGAGGGCAAAAAAGAAGGCGTACAAACAGTGGAAGCAAGGGGATATCACCAAGGAGGATTACACCTCCGTTGCTCGGGACTGCAGGGAGGCTGTTAGGAAAGCCAGTGCAAAGATGGAGCTAGGGCTCGTGACCAGAATTAAGGATAATAAAAAGTCCTTTTTCAAATACATAGGAAGTAAGAAGAAGGCACTGAGTAATGTGGGGCCCCTACAGGATAGGCTTAGCAATCTGATGATTGCAGCAAATGAGAAAGCTGACCTCTTTAATGAATTCTTTGCCTCCATATTCCTGAACAGGGACCGGGACATCTCCCCCACTAGAATTGCGGATGTACCCAGGGGAAGCACCACCATGCCTAGGGTCAAGGACAACCTAGTTAGGGAGCTTTTGGAGGGGCTGGACATGTTTAAATCAGTAGGTCCAGATGATCTTCACCCGAGGGTGCTGAGGGAATTGGTGGGGGTCATAGTGGGGTCCTTGGCACAGCTCTCTGACAGCTAATGGGGCACTGGCCAGGTATCAGAGGATTGGAAAAGAGCCAATGTGGTGCCCATTTACAAGAAGGGGAGAAAGGAGGAAACCAGCAATTATAGGTCAGTCAGCCTCACCTTGGTCCCTGGGAAGACCTTTGAGAAAATTATCAAGGAGCTCATCTACAAGGGCCCAGCAGAGGAGGTAATGCTCAGGGGCAACCAACATGGCTTCATTGAGGGAAGCTCCTGCCTGACTAACCTGGTTTCTTTTTATGATCAGGTCACAAACCCCTGGATGAGGGTGTCGGGGTGGATGTTGTTTTCCTGGACTTTAAGGTCTTTGACATGGTTTCCCACCACATCCTTTTAAAAAAAATTGGTGACTGCGGCATTGATGCCTACACAGTCAGATGGGTGGCAAATTGGCTAGACGGTCGTACCCAGAGAGTGGTGGTGGATGGGTCATTTTTGACCTGGAGGGATGTGGGCAGTGGAGTCCCCCAGGGCTTGGTCCTGGGGCCTGTAATGTTCAACATCTTAATCAGTGATCTGGAGGTGGGAGTGGAAAGCACGCTGTCCAAATTTGCTGACGACACCAAGTTGTGGGGTGAGGTGGGCACGCTGGAGGGGAGGGACAGAATCCAGCTAGATCTAGACAAGTTACAGAGGTGGGCGGATGAGAATAGGATGGAATTCAACACAGACAAATGCAAGGTGCTGCATCTAGGGAGAAGGAACCAGCAACACACCTATAGGCTGGGGAACATCCTTCTTGTCAAAGCAGTGGCAGAAAGGGATCTTGGAGTCATTGTTGACTCCAGGATGGACATGAGCCGCCAATGCGAGGAAGCGGTCAGTAACGCTAACTGCACCTTGTCGTGCATCTACAGATGCATCACAAGCAGGTCCAGGGAGGTGATCCTTCCCCTATATGAAGCATTGGTCAGGCCGCAGTTGGAGTACTGCATCCAGTTCTGGGTGCTGCACTTCAAGAGGGATGTGGCTAGCCTTGAGAGGGTCCAGAGGAGGGCCACTCACATGGTCAGGGGGCAGCAGGCCAGGCCCTACGAAGATAGACTAAAGGGCCTGAATGTATTCAGCCTCCACAAGAGAAGACTGAGAAGGGATCTGGTGGCCATTAACAAACTCAGCAAGGGGGACCAGAGGGAATTGTGGGAGGCTCTGTTCCCCTGGGCACCACCAGGGTTACTAGGAATAATAGCCAGAAATTGTTAGAGAGAAGGTTCAGGCTGGACATCAGGAAACGCTACTTTTCAGTTAGGGCTGCCAGGCTCTGGAATGGGCTCCCAG